TTATCATGTTTTTATTATCTTTATTTTTTATCTTTTATTGATATTTTATTTATTACTTAATAAGGTTTTATTCAATAATTTTGGAAATATAAGTTTTTGGTTTTTATTTGTAAAATATTTTGTAGAAAAAAATGAATTCTCAAAGGATTTAAGAAGATTATCAATACCTTTGGATAATTCAATTATCAACAGAATGAGTTATCTAGAGTCGATTACTTTAGTTACAAATTCAAGTACAAATTCCAAGTCCAATCCAGTTTGGTCCATTGGCCTAGCGAACTAATTTGCCTAGCAAGGAGACTTTTGGTCACACAGCGAGTGCAATTCGCCCGACGAACTATGAATTCTAAAAAGCTTTAAATATTAGTTTTTATAAAGTTTTAAAGCATTCTTTTGGGGAATAGGAAACTAAACCTAAGATAAAGACGAAAGAGGCGTATTCCGGAGGCTAGAGTCATCCATCATCACAATTATTCTTCATATTTGTAGTGCTAAAAATATATAGGAGTAACCAACTCTCTTATTCATTGGGGTTGATAGTAATGTATCTTCAATCTTTTTTATTTCTACTATTCAATATACTTTATTTCCATTATTCTTATGTTTTACTTTTGTACTTAACTGCATGATTATTGATTGCATATTTTTTGTATTTAGTTATTGGAAAATAATTTAGAATCTTGATTTGAATAGATAAACAAATAGTTTCCTCTAGAAAAAAAGTGTAATCAACTAATCTGTTACGAGAAGATTGTCTAGAGAATAAACCATCTAATCAACTCAGGTTTTGAAGTTTAACAAAAGCATTAAACGAAATATTGTTGTGTATGAAAAGTTGTTTTAAATAAATAACATTTAAGAGAAAAATATTTTGTAACATTTTAAGTCCTTCCAATAAATTTTCAGGACATTTCGAGTTAGTTTTACCATACTCTCAATTTTACCTTAACATATGTTTTGATGTATATGGTGTACGAAGAACAAACAATCAAACCAAACCAAACCAAACCAAACGAAAGTTCATCAAAAAGCTAAAACAAAATGAAACTAACCTTGAAGGTAAGTGTGGTGTTGAAACAAAACAAACGTCACAAAAGAGTACCATTGGAAAACTAATCGGTCAAAACGAAAGAAAATCATACCTAAAGTACTTAATGAGTGTAAAATGAAAGAAAAATGGAAGAAATGTTCAGATTAATGGTCGCAAAAATGGAGAACGAAGAGAACAAACCGACGATAACACAAAAAAAATGAAGATGAATGAAGAAGAAATGTGCAAGAGGCTTTGTTACTTCGCGAAATTTAACCGTAGAAACAAATGTTATTTCCTCGGTTATTTTATTAACCAAAGCAATAAGGGGTCTATTATCTCGGTTCTATTAAGAACCCATGCCTAAAGCCTCCTAAGAAATTAAAAAATATAATATTTTCAGTTATTTTATGCCTCGGTTCGCACCATAACCAAGGCATAAGGGGTTTATTACCTCGATTCTATTAAGAACTGATGCTTAAAGCCTCCCAAAAAATTAAAAAAAAATAATATTTTCAGTTATTTTATGTCTCTGTTCGTGCCATAATCGAAGCATAAGGACTTTATCGCATCAGTTCTCTAAAAAAACTAATGTTACAAACCTAGTTTAAAAATGAGTTAATTAAAAAGTCAAATTTGGAGAGGGATTTGACCTCAGTTGTTTATAAAACCGAAGCCATAGACCCATTTAGGCTTCTGTTCTTTTTTAACCAAGGCAATGTTTGTGATAAATACAAAAATGCCACTACGTCATTTTATGTTTCGGTTACAACGAAATCGATGCCAAATATGCTAGTTAATATCCATCTTTTTTACTAGTGTAAGAACCAAAAAGTTTCTCTCTCAATTAATTCAAAATTCAAATATTGGCTATCAAAAATTTTAAACTTTGATACTATATTAAATAAAGTAAAATGAAGAATAAGATTAATCTTCCTTGTATAAAAAACACATAGAATAATATATTTATAATAATGAAAATGTGAGTTAAGATCAAATACAAATGAATATGTAATGACAACATAATTAACATAAGGACTATGTTTCCTAATTAATATAAAACACTATATATTTAATAAATATTGAAGGAGGAGGTGATTTGAGTTTTTGGGTAATAGAGCATTGTTTTAAAATGATTTGAATATGTTACTTGTTTTTTTCAAATGTTGATACAGTGGTTAGATTGTGCATAAAGTATGAATTTTCTTAAATTTGAATTTTATGGTTTAGATTATTAGAGTTATTTTTCTATATTTTTCTCTCTATATATATATATATAAGTTTTGAATGATTGTTAGATTGAAATGATTAAAATATTATATTTGAGTCTATTGATAATTTTGAAAGTGTATATGTTAAAATGGTTTTAAATACAACTTTTGAAAATAGATTTAGTTTTGTTGCATAAAGATGATTTTATGATATTTTTTCTCAAATGAATATAGAAATGAAACTTAATATTTTTTTATCTTATTTTTCTTGAAAATTCAGCTGAAAAATAACTCTTTCTCTGGACTATATTGTCAAGTCAAAATATATTTTATACCTTTTTTTCAAACTATTCTGTTGTGTTCAAAACTCTCGCTCAAATATCTCTGCATTTAATTTCGTGTATAATATTGGATTTTATGCATTGAAAATGTAGTAATTAGGAAAATAATATAGTATTAATATAATTAAAATATTATTATTTTGTGTTAATTTCTTTCTCTGTGATACCACCCTATAATTACGTGTTTTACTGGCAAATGTGATGTACATGGATGTTAACAAAATCCATGATGTAATTAACAAGTTGAGTTCTTTGACCTGATTCTCCTTAAAGTGGTTACGAAGGATAATTGTGTACAAATAAGACTTTTTGTTTGAAGGTTCTGTATATACCTGCACAAACATTATGCATAAGTCTATGTTTTTGTTTAAATTTGAAGATGATGGGAGAATGATTTTAGTAGATTTAAGAGAAAAAGAAAATGAAAAAGTTATTTAGATTAATGAAAAGATTGTGAGGAATAGAGGAATTTAAGATAAAAGTTTATGAAAGTTAGTGAGTCATAGAATAAATTTTATGGATTAAGAAAAAAATTAATTGATACAAATAAAAAATTTATTATTTTATTCTTGATTATAAAAATAATTTAAAATAATAATAATACTATTATTATTATAAAAAAAAATAAAGACAACTTGTTTCATCTTCTTCATTATATTTCTTGAGAAAGATAAACAGCACGCGACGAGGGACAGTGGAGTAGTAACGACTAATAAGAAGGTCGCATGGTAGTAGGAGGATTGCACAGCGGGAGGAATGAGATGCCAAACAATCATGTAACCAACAACAACACATACCACTAACAATCGATTCCGATTTTTATTTTATCTTTTCAAAATCGATTCCCATGTTTAATATTTCTTCTAAGAATCGATTCTCCTCAGCAAATTGAAGACTTAAAAATCTATTTTATTTTTAAAAATAAAGAAAATAATTCTATAAAAGGGGGTTGAATAGAGTTTTTAAAACCTTTTACATAAATAGTGTTTAAGTATGCTAGGAGTTAGACAGTCTACAAAATTTATTAGATGCTTGAGTATTTAAAAGGCCTTCAGAAAAACGTTTAAAAATAATAAAGCATTAAGACAAATATTTTTATATTGGTTGGTTCCAATCTGAACTACATCTAATCCTTCCTTAAAGGTTCCACTAACCTTTTAAGAAAGATTAGAACAAGTATCAACCACTCCTATTTTACAAGAATTATTAACCACTTATGGTTTACCAAGTATTATCAATCATTTATGGTTATAACACTAGACAAATTGTCTAAAACGTTTAAACTCCACTAAGTTAAATTATACAAGTGTTCAAATTCACCTATGAATCTACAAAAAATGTAAGTGTTTTTGAATTCAAGTACATATTCAAATGACTTTTCAAGAGAGGGTATATTCAATATAATAAAATATGAAAACTTGAAAAGATTTTTTCTCTTTCAAAGAAAGACTTACACAATGTGAACTTAGAAGAAGAGTAATGGCGTAAAGATTTAAAGAATTTTTATTCATTTCTTCTCTTCAACAAATCCTCTTTATATAGTCATCTTCGAGAAAGATCTATTACTCAAAGAGTTTACTTCCTTAAGAGTAGGTGATCTTAGATACTTAGATATGTATTGTTCTGCATCTTTGAAAGAACAACATTCCTTTAACAGTGATAGTGTGTACAAATTTGGACAAAGCATAAAACTTTAAAGAAATATAATTAGAATATCATCATATCTCTTATTGTATTTCTGATCTCTATATAGAGCTTTTGAATAGAGCTTGATATTATCATTATCTACACGAAGAAAATGAGAAAAAGCAAAAAGAAAACAAAGATATAATACTTTCCATACATTTAATGTTTTTACTTTAAGAGAGAGTGTATACTACAATAATTTTATTGTACATTTGGCATAAATGTGTTTTGAAGTATAATATATTTAGTATTTATCTCTGCTTGTCTTAGACGTGTTTTATATCAAATATAGTCTTTAATTTTTATAACTTCTGACATGTCATTTTACTTGCGTTGAACGGTGTTTTAATAAATACCTCGTTTAGATGCTTCACGTACTAAATGATATTTCTTTCAAATATCTTAAACTTCAAAACATAGTGTCTTAACATTTTTCTTACCAAAATAGAGACACTTTGTGTCAATTCATGGAGTCTAACCTAACTTTTCATCTTCCCCTTATCCCAGGTAGCCTGACTCCCTTCCATAAATTCATGATTACAAATATGCTCAAATCATTCCAAATAAATATAGCACTCAGTATAAACAAAACAAAACAATGGTTGAAATATCTATACAGATAAAGAAAAATAATTCATGTACATCTGGTTGCATTAAAGCTTAATATATATATGTATGTATGTATAATCTCTCTTCCTATTAATATTTGGAATGTAATGTTGAAGAATTAACATGGTGCACACCATTATTATGATTTAGGGTTACTTTCATGGCTTTGAAGCATTTCGACAACTTGACTCATGGTGGGTCTCAAATCTTTACTTTCCTCAACACAAGCCAAAGCCACTGTAACCAAAAGGTCCATCTTAAATTTATTGTAGTTTGTTTCAATTGCAGGATTAATGATTTGTTCCAGCCAAGAGGAGTAGGTGCCACTCCTTTTCTCTTTCACCCATGTTACCAACCTTCCATTGTATGATTCTTCTCCATCAATGCTTTGAACGCCAATTGTTGGACTTTTTCCAGTTACCATCTCCAGAAGAACAATTCCGTAGCTGTAAACATCCACTTTCGAAGTGATTGGTAAATTGTAAACCCACTCAGGTGCCATGTACCCTCTTGTTCCTCTTATCATTGAAAACCTTGAACTGTTATTCAGGTTGTTCCTGTTCACTAGCTTCGATAGCCCAAAATCTGCTACCTTGGGTTGATAATTAGCGTCAAGAAGTATGTTCTGTGGCTTTATATCACAGTGCAAAATCCACTCCAAGCATTCTTCATGAAGATATGCCAGAACTCTTGCAGTTCCAAGGGCAATGTTGTATCTCTTACTCCAATCAAGAGAGTTGGATGAGAGATTTTTTGCCAAAGAACCATTCTCCATATACTCATACACCAACAACCTATGCTTTCCCTCAGCACAATATCCCCACATTTCAATCAAGTTCATGTGGTTAAGCCTTCCAATGATGCTCACTTCAGCAAGGAATTCTCCTTCTCCTTGTTTAGCTTCATTCAGTCTCTTAATTGCTGCATGTCTTTCATCTGATAAAATACCTTTGTACACAACCCCTCCTCCACCCCTTCCAATCTCTTCACTGAACCCCTTCGTCGCCTTCTTCAACTCTGAATAACTATATTTTCTAACTCCCACTGCAGCAACATGGTACCCTTGTTGATCTGCACTAGACTTTTGGCGCGTCCTCGTCAAGAAACCCCAAACCATGGAAAGACAAATCAATTCTAAAACTCCAACTGCAGTAGCAAACCACAAAAAGAATCTCACATAACGATTTTCTGGTTTTGTAACATAGCCCTTTTGAAGCTGCACCAAACAAACATGATCTTCTGCTCTCACAGATTCCTCCTTGGAGAAGTTATTTCCTTTTGGCAGTCTCAGCGAAATTGTTCCACTAAATCCTGGTGAATGCCTTCCATTCCTCAACTGTAACTTTGTGTAGCAGCTAAATCCTTGCCCCTCATCATATCTATACTGAAACCCTTTGCAGTTACAATCTTGCAAGCACAAATTCAAACAGTTCATGTACGTACTGTTTTGGATAAAATTATGATCATAGCCATATAACTCAACGCCCTGTATCTCTAAAAAGGTAGACTCATTTCTATTGCAAGTAATATCAAACAAGGGTTCACACCCGTAAGACCAATCACTACGGTTTTTCACTCTGTATCCCGGTAAACACGAGCATCTCCTTCCCCTTTCAGGATCAAAGCTGCAAGTGGTGTTAGCTCCACAAATCCCATGAATGCTGCAAGTATCAAATATGAATTGCCAGGAAACGTACCATTTCTTCAAAGCCTCATTTCTAGAGTACATACGAACGTTACCATCAGAGTCCAGTGTTAATCTTCTGGGCATAACCGTGCCGTTATCATAGGTGGAAAAAGCATAATTATCTGATGAAAGGAAACTGCCAAGAGAATTGAACACTGCAACTCTGCTGCTATTGTAATTAAATCTTCCAGCTTGCCAACTGAGTAGCCAAGGGGGAGGCCAGTATGTGCTTGAAACATCAGGGCCATCATAAATGAGACTAAGAACATTGTTATCGTCAAATAGCAGCTTATAGAAGCCAGAGGAATGATTTGTGAAGCTTCTTGAAGACACAAGTTGTGTGAATCTGGTAAGAGGTTGATCAGGAAGCAGAGTATCCGTTGGAAAATCAAAACTTTGCCACAAAATGGTTCCTTGGGGCTCATCTAGCACAAGATTACCATCATCTTGGAGATGCAACTTTACTGGGGCATGTGATTCTGTTTTTGATGACCAAGTGGTGATTTGACCAGCATCAACCAAGACGATGTTACCACTGTTCAAAAGAGAAAGCTTTGAGAGCTTCCCATTTACGGGTTGATCACGGTTTGCCATCCAAACCACATTGATGGGGTTGTGAGAGTGAGGATCGTTGAACCATATGCCAAAGGAGAAAGCATTTTCGCCAACTTGAAAGAAACCAGCACAAAACATTTGATTAGGTGAGAGAATAAAGTGTTGTGCTTGTTTCTCCACTGAGAGAGAGGACCCCTTGTTCAACGAGGAGAGGGAAGATGAAGACTGAAAAGAAAGAGGCAAGAGAAGGAAAAAGAGTGAGATTGAGAAACCCATGATCGAACTGCTGCAGACCAAATTCTTGAGAATGTGAATGATGATGCTGTGCTGTTTATATGTAAAGAAGTACCAGAATGTTCAGTTGCACGAATATTTTTCCTTTTTCCTTTATGGAAAGCTATTCCTGTGTGATTGGAAGACTAATTTAAGAAAAGAAATTGTACACGCTCTCTTATCTGGATAACATGTGGTGGGAAAGGGAAATAAAGAATGCTAATAGATTTTTTAAAAGTAAAAATGGATGAAGGAAACCATGAAAAAAGAAACTATATATAAAATAATATAAACATTAAGAAAGGAATATAAAATTTTGTGCATATGTGAAGATTTAAATATTACAAATAAAATAATAGCATCATTTGGTAAATTTTAGCCGCCAAGTCGTAATCCATTACAAAGTCATACTCAGTTACAAATAGCAATAGTTGACGCGTCTAAGGACAGAGTATAATAATTGCCTCAAAATACATATTATATAAAGTAAACTCTTGTCACACCTACTTTCATAAATGAAAATTAGTCCGTTAAATTGACCCAACTTATGGATCATGTTAAAATGAAGTTAATATGACAAAAAGTGACAAAGGTCATAAGACCGAAATGATAAAAAATGGTTTATAAAGTCTTTTGTTATAGAGATAACAAATAAACCAATTTTTAAAGTACATTTTTTCTTAAGAATGGCAATTAATAAGTTATTCAAAAGTTTGTTATGCATGTGAAACATATTTACTCAATCCAAATTCAAACTCAAGTTACTATAGTCATGGTCACGTCAAGCTCAAATTAAGTTAGGTTAGGAGGATGTCAATTTGGTCGAGTTGAACATAAATCACATCAAATAAGATTGAGTCTAAATAAGGTAAAGATTAGTCGAATCAAACTTAGGTTAAGTTGGGTCAAACTTAAGTTAAGTTGGGTCAAACTCAAGTTATGTTGAGTTGGGTCAGACTTAAGTTTGGCTCGATTTAATTTAGGTTGATTATAGTTTGAGTAAACTCAGGTGGATTAAGACAAGTTGTTTCAAGTTGTGTTAAACCTAGGTTAGGTTGTGTTGGGTTAACCTCAATTGTTTCAAGTTGTTTTAAGATTTTCATGTATCTCTCAACAAGGTACATCCACCTTAAGAATACCGGTCCATATATCCAAATTTCTCTGACTAGACGAACAATCAAATGAATCATGATATAAAAAGAGAAGGTGGAAAATACATTTCTAAGTTGCACAATAGTCTGATTCCTTTATTTTCCTAATCATCTAAAACTAGAGGGTCAACAACTTTCCTTCAAATGACATTAAAGAACAAACTCAGATGTGTCACAATACCTCTAACAGAAGTGGGTAATATGCCTCGAATAACAATTGGTAACAATTTTTGCATCAATACATGACAATCGTGAGACTTTAAACCAATTAACTTTATCTCTTGCATAAAAACAAGGTTACTAATATTTGAAGAATAACTTTGTAGATCCTTCACACTACTTAAAGACTTAAAAAAAACTTTGTTTTTCTTTTTTAGAAAGAGTGTGACAAGTTGGGGGCAGATATGTGCGTCTTCCAATTGATTGTGGATGTAACTTAGAACGAATTCTCATGTCAGCCAAATCTTGTCTTGCTTTTATTCCCTCTTTGGTCTTCCCTTTGACGTTTAATAAAGTTTCGATGACACAATCACAAACATTTTTTCCAACATGCATCACATCTATATAATGTTGTACATCAAGTTTACACTAATATGGAAGATTAAAAAATATTGATTGTTTCTTCCAAAATGTTTTTCTCAATGGTCTTTTTTTGATGTTTTCTGAAGACAATGTCAATCTTTTCAACTTCGTTGTACACTTCTTTACCATAGCAGGGTTTGGATACAACATCATCCTTAACAATTTCATTAAATGTTTTTTTCAATCTACAGTGGTAAGGGTGATTCTAAAGAAGGAATTTTCGATGTCTTGTATATACCATTTTTTGACCATACTTCAATTGAATGTAGCTAGTGTTTTCTTCATAGATGGGACATGCAAAATGACTTCTAACGTTGTAACCGCTCAAGCTTCCATATGTTGGGAAATCATTTATAGTGCAAAACAACATTGCACGTAAACGAAAAGTTTCTTGAACATCTAAATCGAACACGTCGACACCTTCTTTCCACAACATTTTCAAATCATCGATTAAAGGTTTCAAATACACATCAATGTCATTTCCAGGTTTTCTAATACCCGATATCATTATGGACAACATGCATATTTTCTCTTCATGCATAACAAAGGAGAAAAGTTGTATATCATCAACATAATTGGCCATGAACTATGTTTGCTACTTAATTTCCCATAAGGATTCATACCATCAGTTGCAAGTGCAAGTCTTAAGTTTCTTGGATCTACACCAAATTCTAAAAAAGTTTCATCGATCTTCTTCCATTATGGTGAATTAGCTGAGTGTCGAAAAAGATTATCGCACTTTCTTACGCAAATGTATCATTTAAGGTTCATTGCATCTTCTTTAACAGAAAGCAATCATTTCAACCTAGGTATTATAGGCAAATACGACATCACCTTAGCAGGTGCACCATCATTGCCTTGATCACTAATGTTTTTGTCAATTTTATTTTTAAACCGTGATAAACCACATGTTGCACAAAACTTTAGTGAAGCAAACTCCTTTATGTACAAAACATAATCATTAGGACAAGCATGTATCTTTTGATATTCTAGACTCATTGGACATAAAATTTTCTTCGCCTCGTAATTACGAATAGGTAGAGTGTTATTTTCTAGAAGCATCTCCTTCAACAACTCCAACAACTCTGTGAAACTTTTGGTGGTCCATCCATTCCTTGCTCTTAAACTAAATTTCAAAGTTGCAGATAGACGTGTAAAGTTGGAGAATCTGGATACAACTCTTGCTTTGAATCATTCTTGGAAGAATTATACAAATTAGCTCTTCCAAAATTTTCTTCACCAACATGTATCGTGTCCTCTAAATGATCACTCAATCATTATTTCATATAATTCGTTCCTCATGACATTGTCTAAACCTAACACTAAGTACACAACACAAGCATAGCATACTCATAACCTACAGGATTCTAAGGAAAGAACTACTCTGATAGCATTAATGTAACATCCCAAAATATAGTATAAACTACATAATAGAATATTTACAAAAATTGATATGTTAGACCAGTTATCCACTTAGTACTAAAGAGTTAATAATACAGTTATCCCAAAATAACTATAAAATTAAAACTTTGAAATAGATACCTATTCTACACAAAACTATGTACAAGACCGAATGGTTTGTACTAAACTAGTGGATCTTCTCCTTCCAGAGCTTACTCCACCAAGACCTCTTCTGCTTCTGTTCACATCCATCAGATGATCATTGTCAGGGGTGTTTTCAAAAATTGATCTCAGATCTGGGTACCATCAGATTCTTGTCAAGACGGAAGATGTACAAAAGACGACTTTCAGATCTCGCTACTGACACTTTGAGTACGTAGTAATGTCGTTTGGTGTGACGAATGCTCCACCGATTTTTATGGACTACATGAATAGAATATTTCGGTCATGTTTAGATAAGTTCGTGGTAGTATTTATAGACGATATTCTTATTTATTCAAAGAATAAGGAAAAGCATGCTGAACACTTGAGTGTGGTGTTGTAAATTTTGAGAAAACATCAACTCTATGGGAAACTGTCAAAGTGTGAGTTCTGGTTAGAGAAAGTACAATTTTTGGGTCATGTGATTTCTGCTCAAGGAATCTCAGTGGATCCAGCAAAAGTAGAAGCTGTGCTAAAGTGGGAGCAGCCGAAAACTGTAACTAAAGTACGGAGTTTTGTAGGATTAGTCGGTTATTACCGACGGTTTGTCGAAAGGTTTTCCAAGATTGTAGGTCCTCTAACTCAGTTAACTCGCAAAGATCAACCATTTGTGTGGACTGACAAGTGCGAAGCCAGTTTTGAAGATATGAAGCAACAACTAACGTCAGCACCAGTATTAATCATTCCAGACTCTAGCAAATCTTTTGAGGTGTATTGTGATGCGTCATACCAAGGATTGGGGTGCGTTCTGATGCAAGGAAGGAGACCTGTGGCTTATGCATCTAGGCAGCTGAAGGCGCATGGGAAGAACTACCCAACGCATGACATAGAACTTGCAGCAGTAGTATTTGCATTAAAGACATGGAGACACTACCTCTATGGGGCAAGTTTCCAAGTTTTTAGTGACCATAAGAGTCTAAAGTACTTGTTCTACCAAAAGGAGTTGAACATGCGACAAAGAAGATGGATGGAGTATATGAAAGACTATGACTTCGAGCTTTTATATCACCCAAGAAAAGCGAATGTGGTGGCAGATGCATTGAGTAGGAGACAAGCTCAGATAACAACATGTGATATGAACTTGGGGTTGCAGTTAACCCCAGATCATATATGGTGTGGTCTGTTGGTATCGAAGGGGGTATTTTTCGAAGAGTATAGCGCAACGAAATTAAAACTCAGAGACCGAAAAACGTGTTCGATCATAATTAAAATTAATTTGGTCCTTTTAGTAAAAATAATTTTCTTTCAGAAAATTAATCAAACAGTTTATATACGTAAAATAATATGAGTGTAGGGAATAGAAAAATCACAAAGATATTTTTAT